TTAACAGTGCTGTCAATTTTGGAAAAAGTTATCCCAATTTACTGTGTTGAGTTGGCATTGTACAGAAATTAACAGCCATATTGGTCTAGAAATGTTAATTTTTATATTTTTATTTTTCCATTTGTACAGGAATAATGCATTGTACTAAGTATGTAAGGTCATATCTAAGTGGGTTTGATTACAGAAACTAAAAAGTATTCTCTAAATAATGAAAAAAGAATAAGACTACAAGAGCAAGAAGCAATTTAAATATGTTAAGGGACCATTTCATCTTCAGAATTAAGGATTATTTTAATCTTACATCATTGCCTTTTCTCTTTTACTTTCCTTTTTAGTTTTATTTTAGGATTCCATTTTTAACGTTCGTACAGAGATTTCTTTAACTGAAATACCAAATAGTTTCTCTGGTGTGGAAAACTATAATAGTACACAGGATCCTAATGAGATAATTAATAATGTGAAATAGGAAGTAAAGGGCTAAAGGTGTAGGGAAAGTGGGAAGGGTGGGGGAAAGGTAGTAAGGGAGAGGAAAAAAGTATGAGAAACTGAAAAAATGGAAATAAAGTGTTTGTAAATGGGGAGGGGAGGAGCGGGTGAAGGGAGGGCAGGAACAAGGGGAAAAAATGAGAATCAAGGCCTATTATGTAAAAGTACAAGATCCCAATGATGAATGTAACTGTATTGTATACCTAGATTGTACCAATAAACTCAATAAAAGGAAAAAAAAAAGAAGCTATCTTAATCTAATTTCCTTCAGGCTATAAGAACACAAACACAAACAAAGAAATTACATTGTAAATTAAAAAGAAAGAAGATGGGTTATTCATATGATGGGCGACATTCATCATTTAAAAAATTGTACACAACTGTATTGTTATATACTAATATACTATGAATAATAATCAGTGATATGGGCTGGGATTTAGCTCGGTGGTTCTGCCACCTGCCTCAAAAGCACAAGGTCCCACATTTGATCCCTGGTACCAAAAAATAATAATAATAAATAAATAAATAAATAATAATCAGTGATTATTCATGACTAATGGGTAATAAGTTACAGTTAAATATGAAAAAAAGTTCTGTTGTATCATTACACAGTAAGGTGATTATAGATAACAATAACATACATTTGAAAAAGCTGGAAATTATTTTAAAAGTTACTATCATAAATAAATTATAAATGTGTGAACAGACAGAAATGTTTACCAGATTTACACAATATACACAAGTCTTAAAGCACCATGTTACCCCCATCAATACATACAATTTTAAAGTTATGTATCAAATAAAATTAATTTAATTAGTAAAAAAAGAAAAATAAAGGCTTTAAATTTCTTCAACTCTAATGCTTTAAAAATCCA